CTCCTTTCCTTCCTTCCTTCCTTCCTTCCTTCCTTCCCTTGTTTCTTAATTTCTTTGACAGACCTACTCTATGTAGTTCAAGCTGGCCTCTAACTCACTCTCCCATTTGAGCCTCTGGAGTACTGGGTTTACACGTGAGCACCACCATGCCCAGCTGAAAGTAGCATTTATGATTTACTAATCGCTCTGATTTCTCTGAGTTCTGAGGTACTGGCACTGGGTTTTCAATTTAGCAAAATGATTGAGCCAGATTTAGATTTTTTTCTGAATTGCGTGATAGTTTCAAATGCCCTTTAGTTTAGTTTGTTTGTTGACTTAGTAATGTTGTAAAATCAAATAAAATTAAAAATGGAGGTTTAGTCACTATTTAAATTAATATTATTGTGTGTTTTGTACCTCAGAAATAATCCTTTTATAATGAACTCATGATTATCTTCTTAGCGATGATCAGGTGAAAAATATTTCCTGCTAGCGGATATTGAATTGTCATTGATGCAATTAAATTTTATGGGCAAAAATCTAATCTTTATTTACTTGAACTCAGCAGGAAGTGATGACGTTTTCAGCGTAAACACTCAGCGAGTTAATTTTTTCCTCCTGCAGAAGATGTGAACTAGCAAGCAAGTGACAAAATTAATCAAGTGATAAAATAATATGATGAAAAAGTTTTTCTCCCATCTGAAGCTGCTGCTGTCACTGAATAGCTTTCAAGCAAGAAGTCAGCCTGGGTTAACTTGATATTGTCAAACCCATCCTGAGTCGTGGCTTCACATGGATGCTTTATGATTTATACACAGATTGTGCCTATCCAGAATATCAAACATATTATATTGATTTGCAAGCAAAAATCCTTTTGAGAAATTCCAAGTTTATTTTTTAATGAGTATTTATTGAGTGTCTCTGATATCCCTTGCACCGTTCTACATATTGAGGAATAGTGATGAACAATTCAATTAAGAACTCCACTGACAGGGAGCTAAGATTCTAGTGGAGTTAGAAATCAGACTGACCAAGTAATTCAAATGATATATTCCAAAAGAAATTTTTCTGTTGTATTGGAATTTCACATAAAGCCACAAACCCAAGAACCATGAATAATTACATTTCCATGGTATAAAAAGGATTGCTGTATCATTTAAGTGTCTCTTTGTGTGTTAGCAAACATTAGGTGTTTCCAGCTGATTTAATGAATACTCCTCAGATTTTTAATCATTTAATATAACAAGAGATGTATGTGTACATGCCCCTGGTGGGTGGATTGTATCTTTCATGTTGTGATTCAGAGCCAAACTTTTTCCATTTTTTGATTCCTTCATCCTTTATCAACTTAGAAGTTCTTCCAAATTCTTAGAGAAAGAACAAATGAAGAGATGATAACTTCCTGTAGTTTCTCAATTGCCTTTGTATATAGGTAATATATCACTTGGACTCATTTACCATTAGAGAGAGAACTAATAGCACAGCTATATCAGAGTGCAAGAGGACCTTGGAAGTGTAATCTCTTGTGGGACAGTTGCTACTCAGTGGCATTTTCATCCTACGCATGAAAAGCATACAAATAGTGGGTGAAACTCAGCAGATTGCGCTCTCCCAACTTGAGTCTCTGTAGTGCACCCATCAGTGGAGAAGATATTTATTGTATGTCAAGAGAGGTGAGAAATCATTAGCTTATCATCCATTTCTAACCAATGTATGTTACTGTCAGAGCACCAGTAAGTGGCAGTGAAGCAGACACTGACAGTTAATATACCCTGGGTTTTGGTGAGTTCCAATCAATAGAATGGTCCACAGACTAAACAAAAATGACTAGACTGAAAGCAAGAAGCACTTCCACTGTCGTAAGACCTCATGAGTCAAAGTGAATTTGAATTTAAGGAAAGACACTGATCCCGGGCTATTTTGCAAGGTGCTAGCTCATGATACATTCTTTTAACGTGCAAAGACAGCAGGTGAGAGAATCTACGTGAAGTAATGCAAAATAGAGGAAGGACAATGAACCTCAGAAGTCAACTGGAGCTCAACCAGCGGAGAGGAATAGCCTGTAGTGTCTGCCTTTCATCTGTTCTGTATCTTGTAGCTTGAAGCAACCATTTTGGAAAAATTATTGCAGGAGAAGAGAAAGTTAGAGCTAGGGACACAATGGGGTTCAAAGAGCAGGTCATGCATACCTTCTTTCCTAAAAGTGGCCTGAGAAATTACTAAATAGTCCTGGAAGTGAGGGTGGGGTGCCAAGCAGAAAAAAACAAAACAAAACAGAAAAAGCATTCAAATGGGTAAGTATGGATTAAGTTTGGATTGGGTGACATATCTCAAAATGAAACTCTTTCACACCATGAGTCATCCTGAGATCCTAAAAGAAGGTAGAGAAAAGGCAAATCCTTCACTGATTTGGAGAATAGCAGTGGGTGAAACTCTTCAGATTCCACTCTACCAAGTTTAGTTCATCTAGGGGACACAGTATGGTAAAATGAATGAAAGAAACAAGTTTCGATAGTGATGAGTTTATGAACAAAAATAGCTTGGGATGATATTGGATACCTTTCTACTTTTGAAAGTAAAAGAAACCATGTGAAGATAGACAGCTTTAGAAGTCCCCATGTGCAGTCTTTACTATTTTACTTGTGTTTCAAAAAACTCAGTCCAATTGATTTATATTACATTTCACTCTAAATGTAAATTAATCTTAAAAGCCTACTCATCTGAATAGAGGAATATGCTATTAGTAAAGCATCTAATAGCCAAATATTTCAAACTTTTGTAGAAAATATTCATATAAATTTAAGTGACTGTACTCATCAAGTAAGAGTTATTTCTCAAAAAGTTTAGATATGGTGTGATACTTTAAACAAGGCAATAAGCCATTTGTGTATATAATTTACTTTAAGTGTTTTATTTTTTTACAGTATCTGTTCCAGATGATTATATAGTTCTGGAGTTATACAGGTCAAACAAAAGAGATGTTTCAAGAATAAATTTATAAATTTTGATTATTTCATATAAAGACTAACACAATTTTTTTCTCCTTATGGAACATATCAGCTCTTCTAAACTATCAAATGATATGGCCTTAAAATATTTATAATTAGAACATTAATTTTGACAATAAATACCTAAAATTAAGATTGTCTATGTAATGTAATATTTTAGAAGTGAAATGTGTGAAATTTTTGTGTATTTAAGTTTGCTGTTTTAGCAATACATGTTTGTGGTACACAATGAATGAATTCATCATGAGTTGGTACATGTATTGCATACTGTTTAATTCTGGAAGAAAATAGTATTTAAACCTTCAGAAAATTCAAATTTCAAAATTATTTTATAACATGTTATATTTGCAATATTTTCTAGAAATATTCCAAATATAGGCATAAGGAAACTTTCGACTGTAATGAAACATTTGTTTCTGTTGGTTCTATTGCTATTTTCAAGACTCCAGAGAATTAGACTGTGGAAATTTCAAAAATGCCATAATGCCAGTAGGTCTAAGCATCCCAAGGTTGCTGTCTGAAGGTTGCTCTGTGCAGCATTTTGAGAATGTGACCAGACCTTCTGGAAAACAGCAACGTGGTCAATTAATGGTACTTACCAGAGATACGTTAAGGATGCCAAAGAGGAGCTGGGACATAGTGCTTCACAGTTGATTGTCTCCATTCCCTGCTCTTAAGGTCCAACCTCCATAGAATGTTGCAACTCCTTTATAACAAAAGGCTTGTTCCTGTTAGAAGGGTTAAACTTCACAAAGGAATAGTAGGTTTAAATTGTTTGCTTTGTGTTGAGACCTTATGTGTAAGGATAAGACCTAAAATAATTTGCTATTTCAGTATTTTGCTCCTCTATGGGCCAAGGTGTAAATGTCTAATGCACAAGTTTCAATATGTGAGTTGACTAGAACTAGCACTACTTTGAAGAAATAGAATAGAAGAAGATAATGCAAAGTGTCAGAAAACATCACACACAGTGAAAACCGGGATTGTTCTGTAAGACTTCTGTTATACGTATATATTGATAGGAGTTTAGTGTCAATTTTATTATTCTGGGTTGTGATTAAAACATGTTGGAAAATCAATGGTTTAGACTCTAGTATTTTTGCTCCTCTGAAGAATCTATAACATTTTCTTGAGCTGACTATGATATCTGAAAAATATCTGAGTAGTATGCCAGGGTAAATACTTAGGCCAAAATTTTTTATTTCATTTTTCTATTTGAAGCCTTAGGCAGAATTCCAAGACCAAAGTTGATGGTATCTTGTTATCCTGACACATTCTCTCCCTTTGGTGTTTGATTTGTTTGACCCTTGTAAACAGCCTAGGAAGCTAAGTCTTAATAAGTGCTTTATAAAATATGACAAGTTGTCTAGCAAGATCAGTAAACTCTGTTATATGATGCTATCATTAAATTACTGCCGAAGGAAATACTGAAAAGTGTACCTCATAGTAATAATAATACTGGAGGAAAATGTATTTTAAATGTAATTTTACAAATAGTATTTTTACTATGTAATTTATTGGATCCTCTGTATGGTATGTTGTTAAAAATAGTGTTACTGCTTACCAAGAGTAATCAAGGAAAGCTTAAGAGAATAAAATTGGGTGAAATGTATTCAGTGAATAAGGAAAAAAGCCTTATATTTTGTAAGTTTTTTTCATTTTCTTACAGAGAACAACTGTGCTTACACTAAAATCTGATTATACATTTGGTTTGTAATTCTAGGAGACCAGTTGCATTGAAATACCTATCTCTAATCCCAAAGAGGAAACTCTTCACATAGATGTGATATTAACAAGTCCTGCCCTCAGTGGACTCCAACAACTTAAACTGAGTCCCTTGGAAAGTGTGAGCTACATTGTATGGTATTCTCCAGCAACAATAGGCTATAAAGAAGAAAGGTATGGTGTGAGTGTGGCGTTGTACAGTATTTTGTTGTTGATCTTTTGAAATTATGCTTTTAAAATCATTTCTTTGTAGGCTTTAATACAGGTATCTCTGATAAAACGTACTAATTTAGGATTAGCTTTGCTTCAGTACAAAATTATTATGTGGTAGCATATCAGATTAATTCCTAATTTCCCTTTTCACTTCCTATTTCAATTCACTTTTTAGTTAATCAATATTTCTGAGTGCAACAACTGAAAGAAATGAAAATAATTCCAAGAGAAATGCGAAATAAACTTTTATTTTTGGATGAAAATTATTCCTCATATTTTTTCTCAAATATAAATCATTCACATGGATGATATAGAGAAAACTAAATTACAGAAGCTATGCGATACTAAAAACATACAGATGCGTGCATATTTACACATGTGCAAATATTGGCACTAATATTAATGACAAGTGTGCTTATCACATGGTGATTTTGAAGTTTTCTTTGCATTATATATTCATATACATGTACACATAAAAATATGGCTCATGTGGTAATGTTTAACTCAGAAATTGTTTAAAAATAATTTATTTGTTTCGATGTTAATTTCCAAGTTATGTGAGTGTCTTTACACGGTGTGATCAAATATATGGTGTATTCTCAACCACCTTATTCACCAAGCCTGGCACTGTGTGGCCTTGGCTCTTCCCCAAAGTAAAAATGACTTTAAAACGTGACCACTTATAATTGATTTGGGATGAGGCAGCCCTTGACAGCGCAACTAAAGACACTAATGAAAGAGGAATTCCGCAGCTGCTTAATATAAAGAGAGCTCTCCAGAGCCAAATGCATTCAGTTCCACAAATTAAATTTGGTTTAATTACAGTTAAATATCGGGACTTTTTCTGTTATTTATCTCATAAAGACATTTAAAATACTTACGTTTTTAAACATTTTCTATTATTTTGACACACATTTATTAAATAGATACTAATGACCTCCATGTTTTCATGAATAATACAGTGCTTTTTATTACCAAAATGTGAAAAATTTAAAATGCCATCCACCATAAGTATAGAATATGTCACAGTGTAGCTGTCAAAGTCTACATTTGTAAGCATCTGTTTCTATCCATTTGAGATATTTTCTTCAAAGTTTATTGTACAAATTAAAACCACTAAAAAGAGTTTGCATATTTCTCTTCATCAGCATTATTTTTCAGCCTGAAATGGGTGAAGAGTTCTGGTGTTTACTGAAAGTAACTACCGAACTTCCAAAAACAAAGGAAATACCAGAAATATACTGTGACCTTGGAAAGTAAGTTCTATGTAGTAGAAAAAAAACCTACTTTCTCTAAGAAAAAATGTGAATATTTATCAATATCACTATAATGTATCTAATGTTCTAAATATATATAGTGGCAATCTTGACAAAGACAAGGAAATCAGGGCTTAGTAAATAAAGAATTGTATTCAAAGGAATGCCTCCATTTCAGAGATCTGCAGTGTTTCATCTCATAAAATCAAACAGAAAAATAATTTTATTTTATTTATTTTTTTATTTTTTTATTTTTTTTGGTTTTTCTCCGGTACCGGGAACCGAACTCACGACCTTGCGCTTGCCAGGCAGGCGCTTTTGCCGCTGAGCTAAATCCCCGGCCCCTCAGAAAAATAATTTTAATGGGATAAAAGAAGGGAAAGCAGATAAACACAGAATCTTAAGAGTGAAAGTTGGACAAAAAGTGAAAGAGGTCAGTGGTATCTAACATGAAAAAGTCTCACTGAAGAGGAAGATTCCCAGGAAAATCTGTGAATTGGGTCATGTTCTTTTGCGTGTGTGTGTGTGTGTGTGTGTGTGTATCCTCAGGGACAGGAAGAGTTTAGAGTGTAGTAGAAAACAGAGATGACAAATGAAAGTTTGGTTAACTCAAAAACAGAAGGCAGCCAATGGGCAACTCTGAACACTTGGTCCTTTAGTTAATACCATATTCCCTGAGATATGATCATTCCTATTTAGGTGGTCAAATTCTTATTACATGTGTAGCACCAAATTCGTTGCTGGTGAACAGGAGTAAAGAAACCACAATTAAATTTTAAAGAGTACTGTATATGCCCTAGTGGGTAAATCAGTGCCTCTTAGTTAATTTCTCTCTCAGTACCCAAAAAAAGTGTTGAATTATTCCAGTACTAGATCTTAGGCCAAAAATGACAAGTGATTGATTAAGAAGTGATTTCAAAGAAATCTGTAGAATAGGGAAAGTAAGATAAGGGAAGAAGCTAAGCAAAAATGTAGCTGAAGGTACATTCCTAGACTGAGCTTGCAGGTCTAAAGTTTAAAAGAAGTCTAAGTGTTTGCCCTGTCTTGAAGCAAGAGAGCTGTTCTCTGTTTGTTTGTTGTAGTCCAACCCTGATTCTATTTTATATTTATTTTTAATGGGCAAATAATAATTAGTATATTTTATATTTTATTTTATTATTATTATTATTATTATTATTATTATTTTGGTGGTGGTCATGCTGGTGATTGAACCCAGGGCCTTGTGCATGCAACTCAAGAACTCTACTACTGAGCCGTATTCCCAGCCCAAGATATATTTTTATGTTATAATGTGGTATTTTGGTATATTGTGGAATGATCAAATCTGGCTGACTGTATCACCTCAAATATTTATCAGTTATTGGGATATCATTTAAAACCTTATGTTGTAGCTATTTTGAAATATGTAGTACATAACTATTAAGCATGCTGTAAGCATTTCAACTTTCATACTTGTCATAACATCTTCTGGGAAGAGGTATCAATTCTACTCTGAAAGATTTAGTAGGTTCCAGAACAAAGGTCACAAACAAACATACAGAAGTTGGGGAATGTGGAGAGAGACCTGGTAAAAAATATTGTTATATATTTAAATTTTATATATTTTTCTTATTGTAATATATAAAAGTCATATATGAAAGTTATTAATAAATATAGGATTCTTATGTGGAAACATTTTCCCAGTGTTATGATCCCTGATTTTTTTCTTTCATCTATATAGTGTTAGCACTTTTTATACTTGCCTTTCCTGTAATTTATTTTTTTATCAAAATCACGCTTATGTATAATTAAAAGGCATATGATGCTAAAAACATTTATCAAAATGTTATGTTGATAAATCTTTGAGAAATCTTTTTAAATAAGCTCATCCAGTATCCTTATTTTCTTTGGAAGTTTGTAAGATTTGTAATTGCATCCAGTGTCTTTAACTGTCTTGCTGTGGCTTTTTTCTGTGTAACTGGAATTTCTTGATAAGGAAACTTGTGAGTTGTGGTATCTGGAATCTTCTTGAATTATGCCATCTATATCGTCTCTCTTCTTTGTTTCTACATCTATGTTTTAGGGGTGGATTTTAATACTTTTCCCTTTTTGCCCAATATCTGTCTTTTTTCATTCATGTAGATTAACTCAATTTTATCTTCCATTCCTTCTACTGAGCTTTTAATCAACTATTAATATCAAAGACCATTTTGTTGTTACTATTATTCTTCATTTGATAGAACAATGTTTTTATTTTATCACTTAAGATATCAGTGGTAATTTTATTTTATTTTATTTTTAATTTTAATTTTAATTTTTTGTCTTTTCGAGACAGGATCTCACTATGCAGTTGAGGCTGGCCTTGAGCTCATTTTGTAGACCAGGCTGGTGTCAAACTCGCAGTGATCCTCCTGCCTCAGCCTCTCAAGTGCTGGGATTACAGGCATTAGCCACCACGCCCGGCATCAATGGTAATTTTAAAAGGTCATGATCTTTGTCTTACATAAATATTTTTTATCTTTCTTTTTAATTAGTATATGCTTGTGATACATAATAATTACATTTATCTTGGGGAATTGGTACAACTATATAGTGCATCTTAATCCTTTTCACATCCCTTTGCCCTCTCCTCCTGTATTTCTTTATGTTTAAATCCCTTTCCCATTTTCATGAAGTCTGTCTCCCTCTTTCTTATATTCTATCTTCTATTTTTTTTAGTATTTATACTTTAGGCTTCTCATATCAGAGGAACCATGTGATATTTAATCTCTGTGTCTGATGTATTTAACTTAGCATTACAATCTCAAGGTGCATTACTTCTCCTACAAAGGACTCTAATTTACCCTTCTTTATGGCTCCATTGTGTATTATACACCACATTTTCTTTATCCATTCATCTGATGGGCATATCGGCTGCTTCCAAGATTTAGTTATTATGAGTTGTGTTGCTGTCAACATGGTTATGCATGTATCTCTGTAATATAGTATCTCTGTCACTTTCAGAATAGAACAGATGTAGCTGGGTCAAATGGCATTTCTATTTTTAGTATCTTGAGCACAGCTGAGTGAAGGGACAACCTACAGAATGGAAAATCCTGATCTCTGTCTTATTAGCAACTTTATCAGATGCTTGTTTTGCCCATTTTTAAGTTCGAGACTTTAAATGAGAAATGCGAAATTCTCACACCATGTATGGGCCCTATTGAAAATTCATGTTCTTCTTTTGATTTGTAATGTTTTGGTACCTCGTGTTGAACCTAGGCCCTTATATGTACTTAGAATGCGTGCTATCACTGAGCTAACACATCAGCCCTCATTGTCTTTTATACGCAATACTTCATCTATTTCCATTCTTGCAAAAATTGTTTACCTTACTGATGGACTTACAGGTTGTTAGTCTACTATACAATATGTTATTTATAACATTTTATATGTCTTACAGCACATTTGTGCTCATTTCCATTGGACATAAACAGGAGAATGCACTATATGTTGCTTATGAAAAGCATTTCTTTAAATTTAATAGACAACAACCATTTTTTTTTTCTGATTTGTCTGTATTTTCCTTTTGTTTTTTTGTTTTTTTTTTTTGGTTTTTCTCCGGTACCGGGGACCGAACTCACGACCTTGCACTTGCCAGGCAGGCGCTTTTGCCACTGAGCTAAATTCCCAGCCCCTGTATTTTCCTTTTTAACGTAAAGATTTTTCTATATTTTGTATATAAGTAATTGTGTATTATATATGTTGTAAATACATTCTTGTACTGTAGGATACATTTTAACAATTTTAGTGAGTCTTTTAAAAGAAAATAAATGGTTAGTTTTAGCCAAAGAATGCTTCTTTGTTGCCAATTATTTCCTGTCTCTCAAGACCATTACCTAATATATCATTTCTAGAACAGTGTAGTATGCATACCTCTCCTATCCAGATCTGCCGAATCGCTAGAAGTGATATCTGAGTGTGAGAGAAACGTGAAGTAGGAGGTCAGTACACTAACTCAGGAACCTGGTAATAGCAGCTTGGGCCACAGTGTTGGCAACAGTATGGTGAAAAGTATCCTTTGCTAACTAATAGTATATGAGATAGAGGCAAAACAGAAATGCCTGGATGACACTGTTTATTTACCTGAAAAGCCAGAACAAAAAAAAGTTTACAATAACTGAGATAGGGAAAACTACACAAAGACCTAGTTTAAGGTTAGACCTAGTTTAAGGTTAAGACCTAGAATGATAGGTCTGAAAATTAAGGTGAGTATTATATATGAGAATAAGTAGAAAGGTGATATAAAAACCTGCAATACAGTGGAAACAGTCAGGTTGGAGATGCACAATTAGTTCTTCCTTGCTTCGTAGTGATAGAAGCAGTAAAGACTAAACAACAGAATTATGTATATACATTTCTAAAACAGAGATAGCCTTAATTATCCCCCATAGTTGGCTTTACAGATTATTATTAATGAAATTAAGAAAGTTAGGTAGGATTCCCTTAATAAATCACTGGTAAAATGAAATGAAATCAATTCAGTTACCCCAGCAAATTTTACACATTAGAGAAATACTTTTCTTTCTGAGTTTTATACTAAGTGCATTCTTCCCAGGGGTTCATCATTATTTTCTCATCACTTGGATTCTATATCACCTGTTTTTAATTTTTTTTTCTATTTTGAAGGAGCTTCAGACTTGAAAAAAGTTGACACAGCAGGACAGTGTCCATGTTTGCTTTATCCTGTAAATAGTTTTAAAGATGCTACTTCTTGGTTCCCATTAAAATTATCTTTTTGTTTTTTATTGTTCATATTTTAAATTTCCTTACCCTAGTCTATAGTACAAGTTTGAAGCGGTTTTGATGAAACAGTTTGTCATGACTATGGAGAAATAGGGAATTCACTGGGAAGGCTATAAATTATAAGCTCTTTAGAACTTTAATTTTGTTCCTCAATAATGTATGTATCAACAATCTTCAATACATGCATCAATGATCTACAGTCCTCATCTCTAATGTATTGTAAAACTAGCACAAAAGAAACTATTAAATTAAATATAAAACCCTTTTACTGGGTGAACAGTGAATCAAGCTCCTCTTCATATTTTTCTGTGTGATTCACTGGTACTCACAGGCTTTCTCACTTTCTGCAACAGTCCCATTTCAAACATCCTCAAGTTATATAAATACTCTGCAAAGAAATTGATTTTAATCTCTGCAAAGCTAACAGTTTTTCATGTGTTTATTAGTGAATGTTTTGAAATGTAGTGTGCTTTATTTCATAATTACAACTTGAATTGACAGAACAATTTTAATTTTATTTTGGAGAACAACTTTTTATTTATAGAGAAAATATAAGTCAGAGTCTATTGAAGTTACAATTATGAGAGTTTTTAGTGTATAATTCAGACCAAGTACATTTTATTTGGTATTGAGCCTCTGCAGCTCCTGCTCTAACCCTTCTTGAACTTCAGACTCATCCTTCTATCGGTGTGGTAGATATTTAATTAAATGTGCTATAGGCTCATTTTCTCTCAGCAAAGCTCCCTGCTGTGTATGTTACCTTATTTAATGTCTTCACCTTGCAAACAACCATCCAAACACACACACACACACACAGACACACACACACACACATACTTGAAATGGGAGTATCACGCTCATTACCTACTTATATCAAGTGTGGTAAACTCTGATGTTAGGTGTTTTTATTTTGTGAGCAAAAATACAAATAAAATAAAATTAGCTATTTTAAAATAGACAATTCAGAGGCACTTATGATCTTTGCACTGTTGTAAAGCCATCACCTCTATCAACTTCTATACCTCCTCATCACTCCAAAAGGAAACTCTATATCTACTAGGCATTTATTACAACTTCCCCTCTTCCCATGCTAGAAAATACTTATTTGCTTTCTGGCTATATTTATTTAGACATTACATAGAAATAAAATCATACAAATAAGACCTTTTGTGTTTGGCTTCCATTTGAGTACGTAATGCCACTGCTTTGCTGCTTCTGGAATTAGCCTGCAGTTCACCAGTGGGCCATTTCCATCCTCTAGGTCCATACATGGCCTGCCCTTCTGCTTGTCCCTTCTCCTTCCACACACAGACTTCAACCAATTTTTGTTCTCATGGCCAATCTCTGGAAGCTCTTGTCTCCTCTCTGTGTCTATTGTTCAGGTCCTCATTCTTCTAGTTGGATCACTATACAACAGTGATTATAGTTTCGGTGCCCCTCTCTTCCGTTCTCACTACAGTTCATTTCCTAACTAGGTTCTCATATATATACACATATCTATATGAATATGATATATGGTAAGTATAATATATAATATGTGTGTGTGCATGTGTGTATTTGAGAATGTCATACTTCTACTTAGAAAATCAGTCAAATGCACAAATGAATAAGGTCTCTAGCTCCCTTTACTCTCTTCAAAAATAAAATGAAAGTGTTTTAGCTTGGTATGTGAAATCCTCTCTGTTCTTCTCTTTGTCTTGTTCAACCTTATTCCAGCCACCACTAATAGGTCTGCTAGTGCTCCATATTTACCTTTGCCATCCTCAGCGTATGAGTAAACCTACACTATAATGAGCCTCTGCCAGTACTGATTCAAAACCAAAGGTTTCTTCACACGTCAAAATCATTTTGAATATTAATAAAATGAAATTAACAGATGCAGATCTTTGTTTTCACTTTGATTAATAAGACCAACTATGACACTCATTTCAATCTAACGTGTCTTCAGAATTTGACAATTGTGAATATTTCTAATTCTTAAGTAGTTTTTCAATTTATTAGTAAGATTTATATCAAAATACCTGACAGTGAAAGGAGATGTAAGTCAAAATAGTAATAACAAGAATATTTAAGAAAGTAAGTATTTCCTAGAAGAGGGTTGCCTAGAAATCCTATATTTGATTCCTTAGGGTTAAATACCCAAGAGCCTGTCAAAAAATTAGATTTATTTTTGATTTTTGAGACAGTGTCTCACTATGTAGTTCCGGCTGGCCTTGAGCTCACTATGTAGCCCAGGTTGGCCTCAAACTCTTGGCGATCCTGCTGCCTTAGTCTCCCCAGTGCAGGGATTACAAGCATGTGGCACCATACCCAGCTCAAAAATTGGATTTTAAAGCAGTAAGGAAATGCTCTTAATTTTCTCAGTTTTGTTTTACTGCTCCATGGAAACTGTTTTGATTTGATCTTTTATGGCAGTTAAGTTTTGATGCATAATCAACACAAAGAATGAGAGACAGAGATTACTTTTAAAGCAATATGCCAAATCACAAATATCTGGATGATGCATATGCTAAAAACAAATATAAATGGAGCTAGTGCCACACCACAGGAAATACTCATCTGCTGTAGCCTGAAGTTTAAATGTTGGTTATATTTGAAGTAAATTTCAGAGATGTATATATAGTTTTAGAGAGATGATAAATTGAATTTTGGGAAGTATGAGCTTTCTTTTAGTTCTCTTAAAATTTTCATCCCTAGTACATGAGCAACTTGTCAACCAAAAAAATAGAGACAGGAGAAAATCTCATCTTCAGTGTATCTTCTACATTATCTATTCATAACCAAATCCAAGGCATGTACTTGCAACTCGATTGTTTAAACAAATGCAAGAGTACCAGATATAAACACTTCAATTTCAATTAATCACCAGCTGTTCTTGAAACTGATCTAGGCATGCGAGAATGTTAAAATCGTGGTGCTCTGAGTTGAATTATAAATCACTAAATGAGTTAAAAATCCACAGTATTGCATCAAATATGTGCATCAAATTTGCTTCTCAATGATACTTGAAAAATTTGTTTTCTTGTTGTAGTACAGATAACTACTTCGAGAACATTTTGTTTATAATTTTCTATGATATGACTTATGAGGAAATTTGTTTCCTTTATAATATGCAAAGTAAAGTCAAGTGTGTTGGCGCTTACCTATAATCCTTGCCCTTGGGAGGCTGAGGCAGGAGGAGTGCCACAACTTCAAGGCCAGGTGGGCTACACAGTGAGTTCCAGACCAGCTTGAAATACATAGTGAGACTGTGCCTCAGAAAACCAAAATAATAAGAATGAGAATATACAAAGTAGATACTAACCAAAAAAACTGAGGGTAAATGTGTCATGCATGTAGTAAGTAATTTACTTACTACAATTAATGAAAATGTGGTTATTTTCATGAAATTATTTTTCATGTCTCTGGAGAAATAAATTCATTATTTACAGAGTTGCTCAATTTGTAATTGAGAATTATGAAAGTAATATATAATATCTCCTTAAAATGAATCACTATATGCATACATATTGTGTAATAAGAAAATTTATTTGAATTATTTTGTATTAATGAATTGAGCTCTACTCAGCAAATATTGCCACTTTTCCTCTAATAGTATCCTAATACAAAAATTAATAATATAGAGTTCTTGATGGATCTCTCATTTTTATTAAAGAGTTGACATCTAAATATTTAAATCTTAATTATTTAAGAATATAAGCAAGAAATAGTACAGCAATAGATAAGGGTGTCTGTAAATACTTAAAATTATTTTATTATGATTCTATCTTTCAATAGTACAGCAAGATCCAAAAGTATGAGTAATTATGATTGTTTGAAAATTGTGAGCCCCCTTGATTAGTCCATGCTTTAAGCATAAGTAGCAGTCATACTTTTTAGTGTTTGCTCATTATTAGTTTGGATTTTGTTAATATTATGGATGGAAACTTTGCGAATTTATTGCCATTACTCATTTCAGACTCTGTTAGCTTTTTTGGCTAGATTTAGAAGTTATGGAATACTGAGTAAACAATGCTCATAAACTGTATTATATTCAAATATTCACTATGAAATAATATTTGGTCTCCATAATACAGAATCAGGGATTATTTATTTTATCTAAATGTCCTTATCACTACATAACTATTCTTATTTTAACATTCATAAAAGTCATTATATTAGCTTCCTAGGGCTACCAAGTCAAGCACCAGGAACTGAGTTGCCTAAGAAGGTATAAATGTGTTGTCTCACAATTGTGGAGGCTAGAATTTCAAAATCAAAGTGTCATCAGGGGCATGCTGTAATTGTATTAGTCATGTTCACAAGTTGGCATGGATAGAAGATGGACAGCATTTCATTTTCTAATCTTTTTGAGTAAAATCTTTTTATTTTTGAATTATGTTTGTCACAATCAAAACAAAACACTACTTCGTAAAGATGTACAATTATTATATGTCAACTTGTCTTTTGTGAGGCTATAATTCAACCTGTATTAGTCAAGTTTATGGGATTATCATTGAAGAAATTTGTAAATAACAGGAACTTTACTCTTTGTTTTTCCTCCTAGGCGTGTCATTCAGACCATTCCCTTATATAATCCTACACATGAAACTTTAGAATTGCAAGTAACAAACAGTAATCCTGGAAATTTTATCCTGGAAATTAATGGAACATCACCAGTAAGTACATTCAGAAAGTGATGAAACCTACTGGTACTACAGCATTTTCTAGTTCTTATCTTAAGCACCTGTGGAGTATTATCATTTGGATTACTAGTAAGGTTTTAGATCTTCAAAATTGAAAAATGTATTTTTCTATTATATAAATTTTCCCATGAATTTCAAACTGTCATGAAAACAATATCATGCTAGTTTGAAACTTTTGGAAGTACATATGCTAAAATGATGGCAGTATCACTAAATTTTAAATAAGCTATGTTGTAGTCGGGGTTTGCAAGGGAAACAATTTAATACAGAACACAGAATTTATAGGATTACTTTATACTATTCACCCGAAGAATGAAGTAGAAAAGATTGCAGGGAATCTGCCCACACAGCAGAGACCCAAAGAATCCAGGTGAGGGCCTAAATTCCACGATAATGTCCTGCGTGAGTCCAGCTGAAGACCTAGAGTCCATAACAATGCCGCCTGTGAGTCCAGCTGGATGCCAAGAACCCATGACGATGTTTCATGCAAGCCTATTTCATGGATCTGTGCTGGGAAGGTCCTAAGGTCAGTGGTGGAAGCTAGAAAGTCTGCACCAGCATGATGAAAGATCTGTGCTAGCAGGCTGAGGGGTCTGCACTGGAGGCAGGAAGTGACGCTCAAAGTAAAGACCAGAGCTCCCCCTAAAAGTATCACAACCATCCTCAGAGACAACGAGAGCCCGAGCTCCTCTGATGACGAGAGCAGCGGAGTCCATATCAGGAAAGCCAGCGCTTCAAGCTTCTCCAGGAGAACCAACAACACACCACCTGCCCCTCCGGTTCTCCTGTGCTGTTGCCAACCATCCTCAGCTGGGCCCTCCACACCCAGCACCACGCTGATTCCATTTAGCTGGGTGTTACAAGTTGCCCATCGGTTGTCAATCCACCACAAGCTGGTTGTACTTTATTTCTTAATGATTTTAATAATCAGTTTTTGCAATAATTGCCCATTAATATGACTACCTCAAAAGTCATTATATATTTTCAGTGTCTCAAGAGAACAGGTCATCTCTACCCCTTCTTCAGCCCCTGCCCCTACCTCTCACATACATTTGTAGTGCTAAGAATCCTGCTCTACAAACTCCGTTCTTGCCTCTACCTCAGTTCCTCATTTTGGGGCCCTGGCAAGAACTAGAGTCAGTGCAAAGGGTCTAAATTATTTTTTTCTTCAAGTTACAAAACAAGATATTACAGTTTAACATATCTATCCTTTTCCAAAATATAGGACTCCATTTTTTGCAGTGAGTGAGAAACCTTATACCTTCCGTTAAACATCAAAATGATAATTCCAGGCTAGGCAGGTTAGCATGTACCTATTGTCAGCTACTCAGGAGGCTGAAGCAGGAGGATTCCTTGAACCCAAAAGTTCAAAACCAGCCTGGGGAACAACACAAGACCCTGTTTTGAAAAAAAGAAAAAAATAAAAAAGAATGAAAAAGATAATTCCTACAGTTTATTTTCATCACAAAACCTTACAATAAATCATGGAAGTCCGCTAGCAGATATGATACTTAAATTAAGAGTTTACTACTTAGTGTTAAAGGACTGTTTACCAAAGTATGTATCAAAGTGCACATGCATGCTTGCATTATTCAACACCATGTTTCCATAAATTATGTGTAACATGGGATTGAGCATGTAGTTTATATATAACATGAGTAAGTTGTATTCATATTTTTTATGTTTCTGCTTTTAGAGCAGAGTCTAATCTATGGTCTAATGGAAAACAAATGCAATGTACTTCATGACAATTTAAGGAGATGGACTCTCTTATCCTTTCCATCCAGAGCTTTCTACATCTACCTCTTATCTATCTCTTTCTGTCTCTTTTATCTATCTATCATCTATCATCTATGTATCTCTACTTATTCTTCAGTACTGGGGATTGACTCTAGGGCCTTCACACTGAACTGCATCCCTAGCCTTTTTTATGTTTTATTTTGAGGCAGGGTCTTACTAATTGGCTAATTGTAGGTCTTTCAGGTCATTTTAATCAACATACTTCAAGTTGTATCTGTTTTTTATTTGTTTGAGACAGCATCTTGCTGTGTAACGCATGCTTGCCTTGAATTTGCAGCAATCCTCCTGCCTCAGCCTTTTATGTGCTGGGATTACAGGCATGTGCCACCATGCCTGGCTTCAAATTGTATCTCTTAAGGTCATATTATTCTCCTGTTGTCTCATATCCATATGAATTCTGATTCATTTAGCTGTCACATAATATCTTTCCCTCCTGAACTAGGATTCAGTGTAAATCCACACATTAGAATTCGGTATATGATGAAGGTTGTAATAAAATGTTTTAAAGTGTCAGAATAGTCCTACATTTAATACATTGATTATACCCCACTACACAAACCAGTGAAGTAATTACAATTAAATTCTTAAGAATTATGTTTACCTTTCTGGGACATAAATTCTTTGTGATTTTCAGTGAATTTGGGGTATAAATAAAAAAGTAAAATTGAAATACTGCTTGATTGTATGCACTAGCTCAATTTTTCCCATATGCTTATATCATTTATTTATAGAAGAGGAATTTGAGAATATAGAAGCCAAAACATTAAACTAAATGATTAGTAAATTATTTTAATTAACTGAATTGAAATCTAAGTTAATGTAGCAGCTTGGTTCCTTCTTTCTTTCTGTGTTACTTTGTCTATCTATAGAGACAGACCTGTGTATATATACAGAAATATATCTACATCTCTCTCTATAGCTATAGAGAGAATAAACTATTTTTCATATATGCTAAGTTGAAAGGCTATATAAAATTAATTTTCTTGCTAAGGCTAATGACAACACTAATTTACATTTCCAAAGCATTTATTAACTGATAAACTCCAAACACTGGATGATTAAAGAGAAGGCCAGTATGAGATAAAATTATTTGCTGTAGATAAACTATACATAATCGGGAGGTGACTTTATTGTATCTATAAAAGTAAATTTCCGTTTGCATTTTGTGGTTATATTTGCATTTTGTTGAGCACTAAATGCTGTATCTTACAAAGATTGAATGGTGCTACTAACTTGTAATTTTGTAATTTTGCTCTTCCAAAGTTTATTTGCAAATGTATTAGTATAAAACATAGAATTCCTTTTCAGACAAACAAGTGACTTGCTTATTCTATTATTCTGTAAGTGCTGATATCAAACACTGTTTTATTCCCAGTGTAGCACTTTGATTACAAAAGATACTCAAGCCTTCATTATATTGTGGTAGAATCGTTGGTTTCTTTCACTATGTCTGAAGAACTAATTCAAACTCTTAATGTACACACCAGCGGGTCACAGCTTGAGTGTGTGTATAACATGATTAAGAAGAAAACTTTAGTGTACCTTAAAGGATCATGTCTTCCATCCATATTTCAAAACATTTCATTTTTTTAGCGTGGCCAGGGCTACAAGTTAGGTTCCTGGTAGCATGACATGTACCATGCAATGGTTAATAAACTGTAGACTCTTAAATAAAATCCATATTTCTGTGTATTTAGGAAGATATAATCCACTTTTAACCCTGGTTTAAGAGCATATAATCCAGGTTTTAACACTGACTTCCTTTTACATTGTTACTAAACTCACATTGTCCTTTTACATTTTTACTAAATTCACATTGTCTGAGGGAAGATCATGGCATAGGAACCAGATATAGGCTCTTTTATCAGCGTCTTGTTTACTTTTCTCTCTTTGCTGGGGAAAAAAACACCTTATACCCCAAATTAAGGAAGGAAAGGTTGATTTAGCTCACAGTTTCTGGAAGTTTCAGTCCATAATCAGCTGGCTCCAAAGCAGGGTGGTACATGGCAGTGGGGCAGCAGTGTAAGCCAGCAGAAGACAGCAAAAGCAGCAAGAGCCAAAGGGGAAGAGCAAGCCTCTGTTCTGTACCTCCCTTATGTTTTATGCAGGCTACCTGCCCAAAGGGTGGGTGTAGCACTCACACTATCTCTGTTCTCTCCTCTTGCACAGGCTTAGGATGTTTACAAAGTGAGGATCCCGGCCCCCTGCTGAGTCATTTAGTTAAACTTCTAAACTTCTCAAGTTGACACAATGATCAACATCCTAGAGGGGTGAGGGCATGTCCTTTACAACCTAGGATGTAAAACTGCTGGGTTATTTAGTTAAGCTTCTAGACTTCTCAAGTTGACACAATGTATCAACCATTACAGTCAGTTTTCACAGAGAAGGTTTATTGAGAAAAAATAATGTGTGTAAGGCCACACATTTATCACACAAACATCAACCTTACATATACCTAGCACATAATGATACTACCTGAAAGAAAAGTGTTGACTTTTTTTCTCTTTTGCTTCTTTTTAAATTTACATAGCTGATTATACTTCCTCATTCCACCAAAGAGGTATTGGTTTACTTTTATCCTTCTGCCCTTGGAAGAGCTGGTCATAAAACTTGTATCAACTTCTGCTGTGCTCAGGTATGATAAGAGTATTCTTAAATTTCAAAATCAATACATAAGTAAATCCAGTTTGTCCATTTGACATCTTTTCAAGTAAAAGAAATTCAGTGTAAATCATCACTTACATATACGTTGGGAAATACAATATACCTTATCTCCGCACAAGCACCGAATAAGGTCCTTTTGGATGAGAAAAGTATATGCCCAGATTTAAAACATAAATATCTTAATGTAAATATCAAATCATTTGTATATATGTAAATTTTCTGATTTCAGTTTTATTTTTTAAAGTTCAATGAAAAGTATGAAAATGTAGAATGAAGTCTTGGAAATATTGTTACTTCCTCAATTAATTTTATTTGTATGGTGTTCCTAAATAATAATTTAATAAAATTATTGTTTGAGCATTAATAAATGTGCTCTCTCTTTCTCTCTCCTTATATAATTTTAACAATTATCTTAATTTATTAGCAGCAAAGTCCTATAAGGGAAATGTTGTTAGCAGCACTATTTTATGGATCAGAAATCTGAGCCTCAGAGAAATTAAGATCAATATATAGTAAAATGTTGCACTGAGAACTGAATCCAATGTAGCAATTGACTATATAAGATAATAAAGCATTATATTGTAATGAAATAACTGGCTTATTTCATTATCTCAAAAGACATAATTCAAACATATACAGAATCAAAGGTCACACTTTGAGTGTGGATATATTAAGGTAAAGAGAAAAATTTTAATGCACATTTTAAATAATGTGTCTTCTGTCTATGCTTAGAAGTAATTCATTTCTTTTGACATTTTCCAAGGCTGCCTACTTGGTAACTGGTTGGTAGCTTGGCATATACCATGGGCCACTGCGTTAAATTATGAGCTCCTAAATAAAATGCACATTTCTGCTAGCATCTTCATGAGAAAATTTCACAGCTACTTATAGTTTTCCAAGACTAATATAACTATAATTTATATATGCATAAGTAAGTATGTGTCTTACTGATCATTAAAATTTATATATTTTTACATGTATTATAATTTCCTCCTTCAAATGTTGATGGGAAAGAAAATCGGGAAATATACTTGATGTTGCCTTACATTTGAGTGTCACTAGCAGCAAATATATCGCAAGGATCCCTATGTCAGTGCAGGGTCTGTAGAAAACTGAGGTATCTTCGTCTCCAAAATTACACTGTTGTTCATTTAAAAAAATGTTTTGAGGCTGTTAAACTTCCTAACTGATAACATGACCTGAACAAAATTGTAAGTTTACGTTTGATTCTCAAAACTATTTAAAAATTTAACAGTAATCGTCATATAGAGGGAAAAATTTAGGGGTATTATTTTCTTTCAAGTAAATAATTTTAACAAGGCCTGTCTTTCAAAGAACTGCTTCAAAGCAGGGTTACAAACTTCAAATCTTAATTATTGGGGGCACTTTAGTGGCTCACATTTCTGATAGAAATTGTATCTCTGTAAGGATAGTCATGCATGTCAACAAGGTGATTGTCAGCTTGGCTTATTAATTTCTTTGGAAAAGTCCACAGTGATGTAACCTTTAACAGCTTTCAGTGATACAAACATCCTGCTCTAGCATGCATGCCTTAGGTTTGCCACCACTGGAACCTGGAAGTTAAATTCTTTATCAAACACATGAGAACTCAAAGAAGTAAGCAATCACCTCAAATCTTTTGTGAATCAGCTGATTTCAGGTACTCTGCATATCTCCTCCCAAGCTGTAGCAAATCTCTACGGGTTCATTTATACTTAGACTTTAGTCAATAATTCATCTGTTCAACTACGCAGTCAAGACCTCTTCAACCTTTTCAATACATCTCTTCCACGTTTGTGACTTTTCTTGCCCTTTTAAACTCGGAATGATTTAGGTCTTCCTCTTTTATTTAATTTATCCAGTTGATGTCTTTTGCAAGCAAAACCTGTTCATTGTAAAGTATTAATTGAGTGAACTTTTGAAAAAATGGTATATATTATGTATGAGTAGGCATGTAAAGAATGCGTTTTTAAAATAAAGCGTTAGAGTTTGTTTTTCCAAGTCTGAAACTTCGGGTTAATTTTTACCATTAGAAGGAAACCCACGTAGATTTCTATCACTCTCTGGATTTAAATGTTCAAATCTATCTAAACTGACATGCAATAACTAAGGAGCTGACTAATCTAAAATCAACTAACAACAGTGCCTTTAGGATAAACTTAATTTCCAGTTACGTCTCTTGGCTAAACTGAAGGAAATAGCTGTGGTGAATAATCTACTTCATTTGTTTCTGGCTTAGATCCATGTGAAGAGCCCTGCATTCTAAAAACTGACTTTGAACTTGTTATTGCATAGATCTTGAATCTTCAAATTAATTTGACTAAGACATCACAACATCAAATATTATGAATTCATTATATATCAGACTCAATGATATTACATTATTACATAACAGAATAAGAGGAAGAGTTGCAAACAGCAGACATGGAAATTGAAACTTTTTAGTATCAAATACTATGTTCTTAGATTTTCTTTCTTATTTGTAATACCTGCCTTCATGTCATTCATACCTTGTGCCACTCATTTCATATAAATATTAGAATAGCAAAAATGTAAGAAGATAAAAAATTGGAGCAGTTTTATAACTCAGCATGAGACTACAAACTTTGCAGGCTGCGTATATGGAAAGTTCTGTTGCTTGGGAGTTCTGTTAATTCTGTGGAGTGCTGTTCAGTGTGCAAGCCAGATTTACTATCTTTGATCGCCGCTTGTCTCTCTTTTAGGACTCTCAGAATTGGATCTTTTACTGAAAGAAACAGTTAATGTTTAATTTTTTCTACCAATTTTACATTTTTATCTCATAATCAAACAACTACTTTGAAGACAACAAAATGCAATTGCTGAATTCCTATCATCTTGTTTTTTTGAAATTCTGTATCATTTCTAATGTTTTTTTATTATCAAAAAAGTTTTACTATCTTTCAGAACAAGGTTTACATAAATATGAGCTAAAATGTTACTTTCTCTTTTTAATGTACTGTGTACTGGATTATTTTTTAATTTTCCTCTCAATACAAGTAGGTGATTTAATCAGTGTTATAACTGTTAACTAGCAAAAAATAACGGTACTTCTAGTTTATCTTAGTTCATGGAAAAAAAAGTTTTGTGATATCTGTTTGTTTCTTCTGTGTAAAACTCTTGTTGGCCTATGTCTTCTATTGTAATTACTCTGAAGAGAATGGTACACAGTGTATTAACTTTTGTTACTCCCATTATTTTGTTATAAAATTGTTTTTTTTTTTAAATAAAAAAACAATTGTCAGGGTTTGGTTGACATAGAAATTCCAGTACTCTAACCCCTTTGAAGAAATATGGAACATGTTCTTTCTGTAATTTGGGTCTTTAGCAGTGGTTCACAGTAAAAGGGTTTCATCTATCAGTCAGTTATGGAAAATCACGTTAGTATGTACTGTTGGGGACCCTGCAGTGAGTCCCCAGTGTCCTGCAGAGTGTTACAGCACAGTACAGAAAGAAAGCAGGAGACAACATGGCGATGCAATGGGGGACTGGGATGACCAATCGTTCATGGGGAGCAAAAGTGCAGGAGGCAGCCAGAGCCTTGGTATTTACTGATTACATCTGTGTCAAGGACAATAGGTGAAGGTAGTAAGTGTTTCAGGGAACAGTAATGGCGATTATGGTGGGCTAGTGAGAAGAACAAAGCATTTTTGCAAGGATGAGACAAGGGGCAGTAGGGAGACTGTAGTTTCCTGGGGAAAGTATTTACTGTTGCTACTGTGTTGCTTTAAAGATCCTTATTGCCCTTATCAGGTCTTATCTTACCCTATGATTGCCTTAGGGCTTCAGCCGTGACCCAAAGAAAGCAGGGAGTTTCCTTGGTCCACTCTAGCTCAAAGGACAGGACAAAGATGGCCCCAGACATCCCCTAGACTTAGTTTATTATCGGTGAGCCCCAGCAGTGATCTACTTAAAAGCATAGCAGATTTACGTTATGCTGTTATATTCTGACTAACAATAAGATAGTCACTTGAACCTAACATGCAGATACAATTTGCCTTTAATCCCTCAATAATAAACAGCATTTTATGCATTTCTTATGATCAGTTATCCCAATTTGAAACAGTCCTAAGCAACTTTCCTCCTGTTATTGGTAGGTAAGTTTAGGAGCATCTATATAGTGTAGTTAAAGGATTATAAACTAGGACAACTCATCTGTAACATCAACAAAGTAGTGGAGAAGTATAAGATATGTGGAAGTGGATAAAAACTTGCTGTGCTTTCAAGGCATTTTTATTGTAAACAGATATGTAGAAAACATTTTTAAGCAGAGTTTTGCAGGCTTGTGAAACCAGAGAAAAACAATAACCACATTTAATCCCATTCACATAACTCTGAGCCGTTTATCTATTTCATGTGATAATAAAAATGTATTTGATCATGAGGGTAAATACATGGCATCCAGTTTTACAAGCTTCCTTTTAATAAGACTTAGTCCGTGCTTCACCTTTTTTATTTTCACTTGAAATTCACTCCAAAATTTTGGAAACTCCATGCAGTGATCAGCATGCAGGTTATTAGACAAATGGATTTCAAAGAACCAGGAACAAAAATGGAAAGTTTTACGTTAAAGGTTACCTTGTATGTTATTATAAGTAACCTTATATGCATGGAATATGTGGCTGTTTGAACGTTGGTTTTTTGTCCTTATCTTACTCAGTATAAAAATGATTTTTCAGTAAAATCAAACAGAATTTTGGGGGAAAATAGGTAAAAAATACATGCTAAAGAACAACAGAACTTTCCATACTTGCCAAAAATTTTATGTGTTACACTTATTAATGTTGCAAAAAAAATATATGCAATTAGGGTAATTATATTATAAATATTTATCTTCAAACAGTTTGAAGAGTGGAAATTCAACCTCTCTGGAGTAGGACTATTTCCCCAGCCTATGGACACAGTAGAATTGACCACATGCATGGGTCTGCAGTCATCCATCATTATACCTTTCAAAAATCCCACCAAGGAAGATGTTTCTATCAACATCATTCTAACAAGTACGTCGCTTCTCTCACATTTTTAATGTTATTTTGTGGATAGTTATCAAACTTATCTTGAAACAGAATGAAAACATAGTTTTATAAAAGAGAAAAATGCAGAGGGACAGATAAAATATCTTCATTTTGGTGGAGAATGGATCAAAATTAGATATTTATGTCCTGAATTAATCTCTTCCAGTTTTACCTGTAAACCCAAGTTCTGTATAAAAGTTAGTCAATCTGTAAGATTCTTATGATTGTATTAAATATACCAGTGCTTAGCCTTCAAAAGTTTATAGAAATTTTAGTGTTATAGGTTTTTTTTCTTGCTCTTTTCTCTTTTTTTTTTGGTACCAGGAATCAAACTCAGGACCTTGTGCTTACCAGGCAGGCACTGTGCCATTGAGCTATATCCCCAGCCCTTCCTCTTTTCTTAGTAAACATATTGGGATTAGATTTTGGTTACCACCAACCCTGTCCCTTTTTAATGTTATATTCAAGATTCACGCTTTTAAATTAAAGTGTGTGGAGTATTTAATCACTTCATATTTGGTACCTAAATACTGTAAACCCAAAATAAAAATGAATTAATAATAAGTTTTTGGTAGTATATTTTAAGTATATATTAGATATTACCAATTTGGCTTTTCAACTATGATTATTACTACTAAAATCACTAACAGTGTCATTATTTGGTTAAAAAAAAAAAATATATATATATATATAGTGACCAAATTACTCTCCAGAATGGTTATACCATTGCAATATATATTGACTGTATTATAAATATTATCTGCTGGGCTGGGGATTTAGCTCAGCGGCAAAGCACCTGCCTGCCAAGTGCAAGGTCGTGAGTTCGGTTCCCGGTACCGGAGAAAAACCAAAAAAAAAAAAAATATATTATCTGCTGAATCTTATAAATCCAGGGTAGTAGCATTCTCCTTAATCTCCATCAATGTGAGTGGGAAAAATTATACCTTATTATCATTGCAAATTTATTATTTTTTACTTAATGTTGTTACTGCATATGATTAACTTGCTGGAACCTTGATCTTTCCTGATCATCTCATTATACTCCTGGCCTGGAATAATTTTTAAAATTAAAAAAGCAACCTCCTATCATTTAAAATTTCTTTAACAATATAAGAAGAAGTATGCGGTATTTTGTAAAAGCTGGCTTTAAGATCAAGGAGATCAGCAGTTTAACACAGAAATTTAAGCATATGTATTAGCAGAAGAAAGAAGCCAAAATTGAGCAGCAGTTAAAAGTATAAAGGAGATAAAGTTTCACTGCTGAGCTTTGGCTCTGGGGACACTGGAATCAAAGCCAAAGTAAAAGGAATAACCATGAATAGGAGAAATATTTCTTTCTTTGACCGGGTACCATCCTGGCTTTGCCTGCAGTAAGATATGAGAAATGCAAATATAGATATATTGGTACGCAATACAGGATCTTCAGAGTTATGAGCAACCAGGTTGACATTTTCATTTGCTGAAGAAAGGATATACAGTAAGCAATTTGAAGAGTGGTGCAGTGATTTGGAATAACTGCTAGAGGGAAAAGATGATGCTGGTAAAATTCAAACATAAAATGTACTCCTTGGGGCTGGGATTGGACAGTACATTCAGATAAACACCAAAAATGTGTTTGTATCACTTCTAAGGCTCAGAATTCCGATATAGGAAAATAGAAGGCAGATTAATAATAAAAGTTATGAAATAGTTTGTGGGTTCTTACGTCTCTAAAAATCTGCCTAAAATTCCTACAACTATGTAACAAAAATGTATGGTAATCTTAACAAAACGTTGATCAGTCTCACAATTCAGACTGGAGTCTTTTAAAGCAACTTGTTTTCTCTTGAAACTCTATCAGTTTGTCTCTATCCTTCCTTCAACTTGAAGAGATGGGTGTGAAGAAAAACAGTGACTTCTGATAGTTTAGCTATCTTTCTCTGTCTTCTATTCCTGTGAAAAGGATTCACTTTCTTTTTTCGTGGCCATGATGTCTCCTGCTCTGTCATGTTACCTTCCTTCTCCCTGCTGTGGATGCTTTTTTTTTTTCTAGGTATTGTCTACATATCTTCCTGTGTTCATATTTCTTAAAAATTAAACCTCAAACAATATGGTCTGAAATGAGGAACTTCTACAGGGAAACAGGCCTGATGAGAAGGATAAAAAGATAAAATTTTTAGTGTAAATTAAAATATACTCATTATAACAGGTACTAAGCTGATCATTTCATTTAAATATTTGTAAATGCCTTAAAGTAATTTCATGATAGGATTATGTAATCTCTATATATTTCAAAAGGTGCTGTAAATATTCCTGGGTACTTTACAGAATTCATAGAATTTCCTTAGGAAAGTTGATAGCAAGATTCCTAACACCCCACCAAGGGGTTAGTTACTGATATGAGGCATCTCACAACATTGCAGATATTTCTTACTTCAAACTCTCCTCTCTCTGTCTCTTTCTGTTTCTCCTTGTCTCTCTGTCTCTGTCTGTCTCTCTGTCTGTCTTTCTCAGTCTCCCTCCCTGTCCCAGTCCCTGTCCCTGTCCCTGTCCCCCTCCTCCTCCCCGTCCCTTCCTCTCCCTCTCCCCCTCTCACGTCCTTGTACCTGATCCCTTTTTTTAAGTACTGGACATTGAACTAAGGGCCTCACATAAGCTAGGCAAGCACTCTACCATGGAGCTACATCTCTAGGTATTTTATTTTAAAAATTTTATTTTGAGACAGAGTCTAGCTGTATTGCCTGGGCCAGCCTTAAACTTCCAGTCATCCTGGCTCTGTCTGCAGAGTGGCTGGGATTACAAGTGTGTTCCACAACCCCTGGCTATTTGTCAATTTATTATAATTGAAATTGTAGGCTCTTTATAGGCAGACTCTGTGAATTAGTCACTTATAAAGCAAATAGGACAGAGTAGAGTACAAATAAAATATGAAAATTCCTGCAGCCAAAGAGGACATGCAGTAGAAATAAATTGTCCAAGATCCTTAAACTGGGAAAGGGCATTATTTCTGGAAGTAATAAAAATGGAAATAGCCAAGATACCAGTGGGATATAAAAGATGGTGGAGAATTTGGCAATCCAGAAGTTTGATAATGAGTTGAAATTCCAAGCAATCTACTTTCTCAGAAGAATAGTGAATTTGCAAGGATACTCCTATTTGTCTGAGAGGGAGAAAGACAGAGGGTCGAGGGGAGGGGGGGGAGAGATAGGTCAGGGTATTGAGACACGTAAGTACATACATTATGAGGAATCCCGGTTTTGTCATGCAGGTAGTGAGAGTTTCAGAACTCACCTTGTGACTTACACACTTATAAAGTATATTTTATAGCATTTAAAATATAACACTGCAGGGGCTGGGGATTTAGCTCAGCGGCAAAAGCGCCTGCCTGGCACGCACAAGGTCGGGAGTTCGGTTCCCGGTACCGGAGAAAAACCGAAAAAAAAAATAATAAATAAAATAAAATATAACAATGCAAATATTTATGGTCAGGGGCTGTGGATTTGGAGAGTAGAATGGAGCTGAGAAGCTAAGCACAGAAGTTTTAAGCCACCAGCAGTGGAAAAGCCTAGGAGCACAGGCAACAAGCGCACAGGGTTTTCCCGTAATTTTCCTAGAAGCCTCTGAGAATATATTTAAGAAATATATTTAACAATTCATGTGCACTTGCTGTCTCCCCCCAAGTAATTATATTGCACTGTCTAAAGAAGTGTTTTTAAAGACTTATCTAGATTCCTGATACCTTTAGTGTCCTAGGTGATCATTTCGATATATGTGCTTTATAAACATGTCCATGCTAAAAATAATTGTTCTAGTTCAAGGAGACATTGAAGATCTTGGTCACACACTTTTCTGTGTCTTACAATAAACTCATAATTATTTCCAAAGGGAATCTTTGGTCCCATTCCCAAGGAGTTACTGGGTGTGTGCATTTCCTTGCATTCATGTGTAAAACCTTGTTATTTTCTGTAATTCCACGAGGTTGTAAGCCTGACTTTAACTCTTTTGGGTAAGATGTAATTGAATGACTGATACGCAGCTGTGATTGAAACAGGTGACCCACAAACGTTACCAAGGATGAGACAATTTTTGGCAGATATTGCACTCAGTACTTCATTTGGACTCTCTTTAAATTATCTCAGGACTACAAATATTTAACTGATCTTTATGTGGGTCATCTTTTCACTAACAACGGATCCCAGGTATTTCTTCTGGCTGTAAGAACCTGTTCTTTCCACCTGGACCAGACTGGAGATGCTAGGGACTTCATTTTCCTTCCTCCTGTGGACAGCAGGGGATGGTGGTTAAGTGTCACAGTTCCTGTACCCCTGAACATTATACTCCAAAGATGTATGTTCTTAAGGTTTTCAGAGTTCTGCAGCACTGCTTAGTCTCATTTGCCCGTAGTAGTAATTGGATTCATAATATGCCACTCATTGGAGTCCTTTCATAGTTTTTGCTTCACTTCTGCGCTCCTCAATGGTATTCCCTGAAGCGGTTTCCCAAATAAAGTCTTCTGAAGAAGCTCCAAATGGGAGGAGGATTCTCTTTAATAGACATTACCTCCATTTTTAAAGATGTGAAGATTGACAAACAGAAAGGTTTGGCAATTTGGTCATGATTATGAAGCTGTAGGGAACTGCTTCTCAGTGAAGCAGCTGAGATAAAACATATCTGCAAAGCCAAATCTTTGGTTACCATCTCTGGATATCTCTATGCACACAGTGTCTCAGTTTGTAGAAAGAGGAAATTCTAGCTGTTCACTTATGTGTAAACAGAATAAAAAATGCAACTGAAGAAATATTTGTAAAGAATAATCGAAAAGATTTGCAATCTATTTCTTTAAGGACTCTAAAATCTACTCATAGGTTAAATTGAAGGGACCAGAATCCTTATACCTGAAATCTGCTGCATTTTCCCCAACCACAATAAGAAATCCATTCAGTTCCGGTTCTTTGTGTTGTGATGTCATGTAGTCACATCAAATGACACTGAAATATTCTAACATTCTAATATTTCTAATATTCTAGTAAATAAGTTATGATGTATTGGTAGGAATATTACCAAAGACTTTGTTGCTATATTGCCAAGTGTTTTTTCTAAAATAATTGGGAGACATTTTAATTATTACAGGAATATCTATTGGCCTTATAAACCATTAGTCAGTTTTTATAATGTAGGTCCTGAGTTTTTCACTTTTTTTTTCCTCTGCCCCTGGACTTCTAGAAAAACATTTTAATTTATTCAGAGTTTGTTACATATCCTTGCTATAACTCATCCCTGATTGTGGATTGTGTCCTTAATCTCATTTTATTTTTTAACACTTGCCTCCTATTCATCTTTTCTTGTATCTTAAAATTTTGTGCTACCTTTATACAGTTTTTTCAATGGAAGAAGGTATAAATAAACCTATGTGCCCTAAAAGACAGTTTGCAGAAGTTGGTTTCCTTCCTTCCTTCCTTCCTTCCTTCCTTCCTTCCTTCCTTCCTTCTTTCCCTTTTTAATTTTGAGACAGTGTCTTGCTAAGTCACTAAGTTTCCCAGGCTGTGTTTCAAGTTATGATCCCCTGGCCTCAGGCTCCAAAAGTATTGGCTTATTTTAAAACTTTGATGGCTGCAGAAATATCCTTCCCATGACACAATAAACTCATATGCTTAGACTGTAGCTCTTAACATAACCAATTTGGGGACATATATCTTTGCAAGAAGGTATATGAACAGTAACAACAGGAAAAGGCCTGCCTTTTAATGTTCAGTTGAGCATTATTTAAGACACCATATACAGAACACCACATCCCAGGGATCCATTCATTGCATATCTTAATCAATGCTAACTTGGAAAGGTAAATGAGATAGGGTGGCTAGATAAGAAATGGCCTAAACACCCTGAAAATGGTAAAAATCTCTTTAAGTATAAGACCATTAATGAGTATCACATGAAGCAGCATATTACAGAAAATCTTCTAAATAGCGTGGGAAACTAGAATTCGTCATGAACTCAGTATGTATATGACTAGTGCCCTTTAAACATGACTGTACCCAATCTTCAAAACATCTTTTAGATATCAGTATTCCTGCTTTTCATGTGTGGTGCCTAAGGGTTAGAAGTCCTCCAAAGCCATAAAATGAAAAATGGAGCAGAGTCTGGAATTGATAGTGTCTGGCTGTCTTCTTCAGGACCACCTGTCATTCTAAGTTATCTGCTCCCAGGTGGTACTTTTTTGGGACAGGGGGTACTGGGGATTGAACTGAGGACATTTATGCTGAGCTATATCCTCAGCCATCTTTGTAAACACCTTTTTTGAGATTGGATACAGGGTCTTTCTAAGAGGCTAAGTTGCCCATGTTGTACTCAAACTTGAATCCTCCTGCCTCAGCCTCCCAGAGTTCCAGAGATTACAAGAATGAGCCACCATGCCCAGATACAGATGGTACTTTTAAAGCTCAGTGGTATGGCTTTAAAGAATGGCACTTTCTAAACTCTGTTTCCTCTCCTTGTATAGCAGAAGGGGTTTTCCTCTATCTTTTTAAAGGTCCTTAGGAAATGCCCCTTGCAGCCACTGCTTTGTCATTTTCTTACCTCTTGTGATCTCTCCTTTCTTCTTCACTCTGCCGCTAGAACCTGGCTCTGCCTGATGCACACGTACTTCGGTGTCCTGTCTTGGCCTTGTTTGGCTGGGATATGTGCCCTGCTCAGTGACTGGTGTCCATGGATTTAATTCTCATTATAGTTTCTCCTCGGTAATTATGTCCCCATCCTGAAACCACTGCTCTTAATCCCACCTTGCTCCACTGGGAATAAAGGTGGAGGAATGGAGGGAAGCCATGAATGGGATGCAAGGATCTGAGATGAACGATTAGGATCCAGGCTTCATGTATACCTATTACAAATTTAAGGACATATATGCATTAGATGTTGGTCTTGTTGTTCATGTAACTGTATTCCAAAGGTGTTCATTTGTGACCCTGTTAATGACAGTTATTTTAATTCATAGCTTTATTCTTTACTAAATGAGTATTTCCATTTTAACATACGTGCTTCTAAACTAGGCATTAAATACTTAGTCACTACTGAGCACCTATTTTGAACTAAAAACTATTGCATGTACTTTTCAAAACTATATCACATTTGGACAATACATGAACAAATTCATTGATTTTCATTTTTATGGTATTCTATATATGATATTGCGTATATACCTGAATTGTTGCTGAAAGGACCGAAGCAGTGATTAATGCATCAGATTAGCTCTTAGTTATTTTTCCATTGGCGTGGCTATAGTTTGGAGATTAATTACTCTTCCTATTAAGCTAAATTTAAATGCAATGTTAGTGATTTAACTGACACATTTCAATAGCAGTTCATTCTGTTTCAGATATGAGTAGTTTATTGAAGAGCAAAACAAAATAATACTAGAGAGTAAGATATGCATATTAATTAAGATACTACATTAGTTTTACAAGTATCAACTTCCAGTTTTATTACTGATCAATCTAAACAAACTACTAAGACGAGTTGTTATTGACTTAGGACTAATTATGACCGTGATGTTGACCAGAAGTCGGGTAATAAAGCACACAATATTACATAGTTATGATAAGTTAATCACACTTTTGGGACATGGAGAGGAAAGATTCAGTGCATTTCATTTCACTCTGTTGAATTAGTGTGTGAAAATGTGGTACCTAGAGACCCTCTGAATCTTATTTGAAGCATATTCAGAGTTGAATAAATATTTATGTTAAATATGGAGTAATCACTATGAACTGCCAATCAGGGCGAGCATGACTTTATACAGGTATGACAGATATATAGGTGTAAAAAAAAAATCCCACACACTCAAAATCTCTCCCAAATTCAGATGTGCAAGCTTTTATGTACTCTATTTAATATGGTATTGATAGATTTGAGATGTATGAACAAAGCAGTTTTGATAGCAAATATCTTAACAGCTTTAGTTTATTTGTATTATTTGTCCTAGTTCGCTTATAAATTTTCTGTATAAAGGAAAAATAGATGTAAAATAATTATTATAGACAATTTTCTGATGAATAATCTTAGAATTTACTTGCCTACAATTACTTTATTCTTAGTGCACTTACCCAATGATTAAGTAATAGCTCTCAAAATTCAGTAAGCCATAATCGGTACTTTATCAAAATTCAGGTAATCATGTCCCCAGTCATTTATTCTGATTTCTTAGGTCTGAAGTAAAGCCCTAATATCAAAAGCTATTCCAGTACAAGTTTTCAGAAAACTATGCTGCTCAAAACACTGATCTTTACAAAATGACCTCAAAATATAATTTTAAATCACATGCTTCTGTTAGTGAATACTTTTCAGCACTCCTTTCAACATAAACACACACACACACTTTTGAAATATATAAATGTACCATGATCAACATATATATTTAATGTCAACAGAGCTTATCTAATTCTCATAGAATATTAATATGTTTACATTTATATGTATTAGTTTAAACTTTTCACTACTGTGGCATAGCTCTTGTATAGCTGTATCTATGTATATATTGAACTTTGCAAATCCAGTTTCAGTGTCAGAGCTCAGACATGCATTTTTATTTTATTTTTTTTTGTTAGTATATGCTTCCAGTGTATCATGTTCATATTCCTCGTGTGGAGTTCATACATGTTCATAACGCATCTTAATATGTCTGTCTTCCTTGTCTCTGACCTTCCCTGCTCCTTCCCTCCAGGAAACAGATTTTTCATAATAGATTTTATTTGAGCAATTAAAATTTCAAAATCTTATGCATCCATTTTAGTCTTTCAATGTGATAGAAAACCTTTTATTTTTACTTATTTATTTATTTTCCAGAGAATAAAAAATAACAAAATAGCAACAACATAGACAAAAACAAAACAAAGCCAAAATAGTAAAACTGGCACAGTGTTTCAAAACAGAATGACAGGAATTAACAGTGGTTGTTATGTTACATATTGAGCAACTTCACTGAAGAAAATCTTTTATACTGTATATGTTCTTCAAAATTTTATTTAAATTTCTTGCCAAAATGTACTTTGAAAAATATTAATCTAAGAAATTTCTCATTAGAGAATAATTTTACTCTATTTCCATCTCCACTGTTGTTTTCTTTCTGAATGTGACTTTGAACTACAATATCTCTTTATTTCTTAATTAGATGAAAAACAGCCGAGACACCTTGTCATTGACTGTTGCTGGCATAGCTTCCTGAATGAGGATTCTGCTTTCCAACTCTGTTCTCTGCGTCATACAGAAGGTACAGAATTTCTAGCTCATCTTCTCTCATTCTATGTGTTGCTGCGTTTGAGAGGTGATATACATATATATATATATATATTTTCTTAATACATATTTAATATTCATTAAAATTTGAAATGTTTTGGTAAGTTAGGAAATCATGGTTAGATGGTTAGTATAACCCTTATGTACATTTATTACATTTACATTATTTTTAATCTGTTAATACACAAGTGATATTTGCCAAAAAGTTATATATGTATATTTTTTAGCTAGACTAGGTTGCAGTGTGCTGCCCAGTTTGGTTCCACACTCCTAGTTTGAAATGATCCTCTTGACTCAGCCTCCTGTTTTTAAAATTTTGAATGTCTGAATATCATATCACTTAACACATGGGTATATGCATCAAAGAAAATTTTGAGAAAACTGTGACTAACTATTGTGATGAGACTACATACATTCATGAAGAGTAATTGCATTTTGCTTAAGCTAAAGATTCTTTGCAATTTTAAGGAGATATACATATATTTTTTCTGTATATTTATTCCAACAACATATTAATGAATGGAAAACACATAAAAATAATGAGTTTACTTAGCAGTCTAAAGTTTAAAATTATGAGTTGGTTTAAAATGGTGTTTTTAAATTACAGAAGCAATTTCATGATAAGGGGGTGATTAAATATGAATTACCTTAACATTGTTAATATAAAACTTTAGTTGAAATCAATTACTACTGACATACCCCTAACATAGGTTAATGCCTTTCTTCTATTTATTGTAATTTATTTCAGTATCTTTAAGCTCATCTAATTTGATGCAATTCCATAGAGTAGGTGTTATTTTACTCAATGAATTGAGAAAATTTCAATTCAGAAAAATTAAATTAACCAGAATTCAAACAGTTGCTTAATGGCAGAACTGACCCTTCTGTTTCTCACTTCAAAGTGTTTCTTTTTATTTCTTTGCAACATATTAAAAGGCATATGAAAAATAGTTCATTAAAGAAGGAATATAGATTCTGTCCAAAAAATGTGAAAATAAGTTCAGTCTCAGTAATATCCTAGTAGATGTTGATTTAAACAACAGTCACCAAAACTGCCATTCTTCTTTTGTTGTTGTTGGTTTTTGTATATCCGTGACACTACCAGTGCTTAGGCTGGGGATGTAGCTCAGCGGCACATTGCCTGCCTGGCAAGCCCAAGGTCCTGAGTTTGATTTCCAGTTCCAAAAAGAAACTATCAGTGTTAGTGTTTGGCAAAAGTGGAGCAAATGAGCAGCTCTTATGGGACTATAAGTGATAGAATCTGGAAAGCACTTTGTCTTATGTATATAAATAAACTTTGAAATTATCATCTTTTGGCCCAATAATCCCAATTCTGGTTAAATATTTTTTTAAAAATTCAAAATACATTTGATACATGCAAAAGATATTTACTATTGTATAATTTATAATAGCAAAAATGAAAAAAGCCTTAATGCTGAATAATAACTTATATTTATAGCAACTTTTTATATATTTGTGTATTTTTAATTTTACTTATTAAATATATAAACCATTTTCTTTTTTCAAAAGGAGTCAGTTGACTTTGCACAATGACTTTTCACAATGTGCAATCGTCTGACAATTTGTATACATTATATTCTCTCTATTTAATAGGTAAATATTATACGGAGGTAGGTGTTTTTTTTATATTAGTCCTTTATTTCACCTAACTTTTGCTTTTTAGCTATGTAATGACAACATAATTCTGATTCCTCCTTCATGTAATTAGACCATTTCTGCTTTTTTAAAATAACAAACATTTTGTAGCTATTAATACTTGCAGTGTGACTTATCCTACACAAGTCACACTAGCACCCTCTAATTTGCTATATGATGTGATGTTACATTCCAGTTAATTCAGTTACGTGTGAGGTGTTAAAAGAAGGATATACATTTTGTCCCGTGGATTTGTATTTCAGGTCTAAGGCCACAGCCACATAGTTCAAACCATTCCGTTTTGTTTTCTTTTTGACATTGTTCTTTCAGTGTCTTTTAAATATTTTATTTCCTTTTATAATTTATTTATCCTTATAGTAGAATATTGGAATTCTTTGTCATTGAACTCTAAAAATGCCAATAATATTTGAATTGCAACTACGTTATAACTGTTGACAAATTTGGGTGTGATTGCGTCTGTATGATAGTTAATCTTCTTTTTTAGGGCCATTTATTCTCTTAGTATTTCATAGTACAGAATTTATAAATGTCGGTAAAATCCAGCCCATGTTTGCATGACAAAAATAAAGGTTTCAGTAGTAGCGCTTTATTTTAAGTAATGCCGTTAGTAATTATATATATAATACAACTTCTGTACAAAATGAAGAACAAAATTTTGTGTCTCAGTTTTAAAATTTTTAATTCAAAAAAGATTAAATAGTCTTTCTTAATTAAATTTACATTGTGCTTATCTTCAAGTATGTTTCAAATTTAATGCAGTTTTCTACTGGATTCTTTATTGATTTTTCTAGGATTTTGCTGTGACTTGATTTTTGAGATAAAAAATAAATACCTTGCCTGTGCAGCAGACCTGACACTTCAAGATGTGTTCCTTACTGCCCCACATAATAAAATATCCAAATGAGTTTATTTTCTAAAACTCTTTGGTTTGCTATTCTATTTCTGTATGCTATAATATTGGTTTTAATGTTTTTGATGATTTGCAGAATATAAACATTAAGATTACCAAAAAAAATGAGACCTCAGCCTTTTATATTGCTGTTGGCATTCTTGGAGACATTGGGATAACTGTTTGCCGTATTGCACAAAGTTTCCTCTAGAAATGCTACCATATGCCAGTAGAAGCATTTGTGCCCCTAAAGTTAAGTCTTCTTGCATCAATATGAAATATTTCCTTGATGAATATTTGACAACTGAAGTTTATCTTATTTTTACCACTTTTACCAAAGTATATTATTGAAAAGCAAAGATAAAAAACCCCAACTAACCAACATGCTTAAAACATTTGGCAAAATACTGGGCTAAAAAATGTATCTTTATGATAGGATTTCCTAAGGTGTTTTTTTTTTTTTTTTGCCCTGTAATAATGTATGGATTTGCACATAGAGGAAATGTTGTATCACAAACTTCTATCTGATCAAAAAATCGATCTTTGTGAATGTTACTCTCAGATGAACTGATTGAGCAGGGATCTTCTAAACTAGCACCCTCTAATTTACTATATGATGTGACATTACATTCCATTTAATTCAATAAAATGTGTGAAAAGGTATAGTGACATCTGGTAAGATTAGTTGATGAATGGCACTGCTTAATTTCATGGTAACAATTATATTCATCATTACAATCTAAACCTGACTTTACCAAAAGTTTGGTTTATATCTAACTAAAGAATTGTGATAAAAATAATTTTTCTAACCATTCTTCATATTAACTACTTTCAGAAATTTTCAGTTCTTTTGTGCACACACAGTTATTTATTTAAATTGAATCTCTAGATAGCTAGATACTGATTTGCCTAGAGCTCTAGCCATTGACACTGTCTTTTTTTTAATTTCCAATTTTAAAAACCACTGATATCCCTTTAATTCTCTAAGAAAGTATATTTCTGTAGAAACTTTTTCTTACAATCTATAGGTATCTAAGCACTTAATTTTACTTTTAGTAAGTGAGCTCTTTCTTTTGTTATCTTTCAAAAGATGACAAGGCTAGACAGGAGATAAAGGAGGGCAGGGTGTTCCTGCCCTTGAGGAAACTTAGCTTGCCAGCCCTTCACTTTGGAACTTAATCTGATCTGCAGATTTAACTAGGTCAAGTAGCCAGGACTAGGAGAATAATGTAGGTAAATTGTAATTTTAGATGACATCTTCCTCCATAAAGAATCTTTTACTAGAAAGGATTCTAACATCATTGAAGCAAAATCCAGATTAACGCATCGGAAAACAACTTAACTATAACATCTTCTTGGGTCCTCTGATTGGAATATTTAACACTTGAGAATTGTGTCCTACACTACAAGTATATACAATATATGTAATTAGCATCAAACTTTAGGAAGGTAGCCAGGGTACAATACTGAGAATTAGACTTATAATTAGTTCTTAGTCTGTGCTGTGGTTTTGAGTATAATGGGGATAAGCTTGTGCATTAACTTGTGCTAGTTTTGTTAATATATTCATACATGTAATTCATGATCTGTTTGTGATCTTTCTACATATTGTTTCATTAACCATATATAAATATGTATTTTATTCTTTAAATTCTTAATTTTTTATTTCAAAGAGAGAACAACAGAAACAATAACAAATACAAAGACAAAACACAACACACACAAAAACTATAGAAACAATAAAACAAGATGATGGGAAATTAACAACGGTTATTATATTGCATATTGTTATCTTCAAAGTAGTTGCACACATTACCAGATATAGGCATGCAAGATTGATCAAACAATTAAATGTTAGTTGTTCCTTTCAATAAACAAATAAAAATAAATAGTACAATTATCTGAGCTATCTTATGTGTGTGTATATATATATATATTTCCCAGTGACAAAATACTGTATCTCAAAGCATTTTGTACATGTATATAAATATACAGATCTGGTTTTGTGCTCAGGGAGATTGCAATGTGTGCTCTACCACTGAGCTGTACCCTCAGTCTTGAGTATATAGATTTATAGGGTGCTTTTATTTCTATTGTCAGGCTGCTACTTTCATTATTAATCTTGATGTTATTCTAATTTTATGATGACTGGTGGTATCAATATAATCTACTCAATATTTACTTTACAATTCAATAACTTTAAAGGCAACAGTCATGTTTTCTCAGTTATTACCCTCTTGGTATGTAACAATGTGTATAATACTAGCAATTTAAAAGAATACACCAGTAGTTCTTGCCAGTGAAAATCAAGTTCATCCTGAAATAAAAGCTAGTATATTTATAAAGGATCAGTTTTAATACAGCTTCATAAAATGAAGTAAATGTATCTCTAGAACAAAAGACTAAAA